AGCATTGTAGTATCAACAGGCTACTAGTAATCATAAGTGAGCACAAGCTACCACAGCAAAACTTCAAATATTTTGTAAATCAAAGGTGGCAAAAAGCACTCCATTGTTGATCAGTAATGGAGAAACCCCCAGTGAGATGCATGAATCAAGAAAACAGTGCCAGGAAACTCAGAAAGCACCTAAAGATGGCTTTACTCTTAAGCTCGAGTAATTCCAACCTGCTCCATGTAGGTTCCTATATTGTGTTCCTCTATATTGTTAAGTAATATACCGAGCAGTATGTCATGTGTATGTTCTTCCATTGCTCCTCAGAGGAAAAAAAAATAGCTGCTTATATTTCTGCTGTGGTATTAGAGAAGATCAAAGAAACAGCATGAATGATGAGCAGAGGATATGGACCGTCTCTTTTGAAGAAAGTGATCCATTGGGTCAGCAGAGCATCACTGTCAAGCATGGCCTGCAGCCCAAATCTGACAATGGCACTGGGACGTGATGGAGCCAGGCTGCTCATTATCTGAACATACACAACTTCTTTATTTCAAATTCTACACACAGTCTAGAATACGTTTAATGCTTGCACAATAATCTGCAGTTCTCTATATACTCGCAGCTCTCTTAGTGTTAAAGGCTGCCTGCCCAGACGCATTTCATTGCTGAAGTCCTGCTGAGAGGCCTGAATAACCAACAAATGACTGGGGCCAGCAGTGGGCCAGCCAAAAACATTCCTCTCACGTAAGAGAACAGAAGGTGGAACGAAAAGACAAAAGACACAACACAAAATGGAGGGTAATTAGAAAGACAGGAATGAAGGGTGGACTTTGGTCTTCTGAGTAGTCAAACTTCCAGTTTTTTTGAATTGCAGAGGCTGAAGCAGAAGCTCTGTGTATACATCTTAGCGTTTTTCTAGAGATTTCATGTATCTATTTTATATGAACTTTACATCTAGGGAATAAATCCTGTGAGGAGCAGCTGAAGGAGCTGGAGTTATTTAGCCTGGGCAGAAGGAGGTTCAGGGGGGACTTTCACACTCTCTACAAATGCCTGAAAGGAGGTTGTAGCCAAGTGGGGATTGGTCTCTTTTCTCAGGTAACAAGCAATGAGAGAAAACTGCCTCAAGCTGCACCAGGGGATGTTTAGATTGGATATTTAAGAAAACTTCTTCATGGAAAAAGGTGTCAAACATTGAACAGGCTGCCCAGGAAAGTGGTGCAGTCACTGCCTCTGAAGGTATTTAAAAGATGTGTAGACGTAGCACTTGGGGACACTGTTTAGTGGTGGATTTGACAATGCTGGGTTAATAGTTGGAACTGATCATCCTGGAGATGTTTTTACCATCTAAACAATTCTGTAATTCTACATTTTTGACAAACCTACTTCTGTGAGCTGCCTACACACAGAGACACCCCATAAAGCATTGCTTCCTTACTTCCTGCACTCTTGCTTTTGGGCACAGTTTTGGATATTAATCTGAATCATGTACTATCTTGCTTCCTTTTTCATTATACAATATATAGCACAACCAGATTACTTGTTGTTATGGTAATGCTATTAATAAATACATGATCTCAATAAATCTAGTGTGAAGTGGCAAAATAGCAGGACTCCATCAGCACACCATATCTAGTGACATTCATCAGAGGCGACAAAGGAGCAAAATCTCATGAAAAATCTCAATTACAGCAATAAACCAGGATCTCCTCTGCAATAATTTAGTGAGGACTAAAAATGCTATCCTCACAAGAAAATTAAACCAAACCAGTGCAATTTCCCATTCAACAACTATTTCTTACAGTTACAAGTTGCTTGCTCCTCAGGCAGAAACATCCTTGTCCATCTTCCAAAAGCACGAGTCCCTATCATATCTGAGACTCACAACCCTCTATCAAAAAACAATTTGGAGAAAATGAGCTATCTAATGGCACTACAATTTGGAGAGAAGAGAAATGCTCAAGTAGCAATGAATTTCTACACATGATCAGAAACAAACAAAAGCATTATTACAAACCCATGTAGACCCCCAAGTGATGCTAACAGTATGCACTCAAAGCTATGATATCACTGGAGAAAGCAACATGATTTTCCTGTTCTCCTCTAAAATAACAGAAATATGCTGCTACACTAACACAAATATTCATCTTACTGTCCAGATGTTTACCATATGTTATGCAGCAAAATTCATATTATACTGTTGTCTTTCATCTGCAATGCAGTCTTCTCTGTCCTCCACCTAACTAACTGGAACAGCCAGGATATTTCTAATAGAGAAGCACAGCTTTCACTTCCCCTCAGACTGTCAGTTGCCTTCCTGAAGCAGGGGCTTGTGTTTTGTCAAAATTCAGCAGCAGAGCTCTTTCTACAGCCCAATGTCAAAAAATCAAGTGAAGCCATTTATTGAAGCTGATGCCATCCTGACAAGCCAGGCAAGCTGTGCTCCTTGCAAGCTGGTTCTAAAAATATATTCTGCTGGACAGGTCAGTGGTCTGTGCACTCCATAGCATAGAGCTGCCCAGTACCACTAGAGTGCCATCAACATTTGCCCTGATCAAAAGGAACACAGAATGCTCAGAGTTGTCCTTTATGTTTGCTACTTAAAAAAAAAAAAAAAAAAAAAAAAGAGAGTAGAGAAGTAACTCTGCAAGCTGTTTATTATGTTGATAACAATGCATTACAATAATAATAATGAGCAATCAAGAGTCTTTTTCTACTAAATTTTCCTTTCAAACACTTCCTAAGTCAAATGCACTTAGCAAGGGTTTAATAAGAGATAAGTAATGGTGAACTCAAAATGTATTTCTGGGGCCTTCATTAAGATAACATTTTCTTTGTTGGAACATTTACATTTTGTGTGTGCACATATACACACATACAGACCATGTATCTATACGTGCAGCAATTTGTAGTGGATATAATTGTAGCTTCCCCCCATTACCTAAACTCAGCACATTAAGTTTAAATCAGAACAGTACAAGGATGTTAAATGAGCAAAGGACAAATGAAAAAGCAGGACTTAGGGGAAAGGAGGACAGTGGACTACAAGAACTGAGAGAAGTAAAGGCACAGATTGAATTCTGTGGGAAAACTGGTATTGGAACAAACCCTGGGAAGCAGACTTCATTACTGTTTCTCTACCCTGATTGCTGAAGTTCTCTCTCTGGGTTTGATCAGCAAGACATGCATAATTTATACTAAATAAAAAAAAAATCTCAGAGTACTCAAGGCTTTTCTGTTTAGTCCTCCTGAGAATTTTAGTTGTAATCACAAACTTCATTTCCCCAAATAACTAGGATTCAATAAACACAAGTGAGCTAGTCAGTAAGATCTAACATATATTACAATCCATTAGTTTATTTATCATCTTTTTTTTTTAAACCCAAAAAGCATATCAATTCTATTCCGTCTTTTATAATATTTTGCTGTTGCACAAGGCCCAGAACATGAGTCCTGTTCTGTAAGTGAGATTTCAGGGCACTTCTAACAAAAGAATACAAAATATTTTCATATCTAATTTGAACAACAGTTTTTATATTAAAATCACTAAATACACAATCAGAACTTTCCCTCCTACAGCAGAAGAAGAGAGAAATCAACTATAATCTAACCAGTATTATCAAGTTGCATTTGTGTTTATATCTTATCTACTTGGAGTAATTATTTTCTTCTCACACAAAGAACATCTGATCACCCACCTAGCAGCAATCTGACATACGAAGGTTGCTACTCCAGAGCTGAAGCATCATTATAAATACAATAGTGCAGAACAAAATTTCATTTTTGCTTCTTTATGCTACTGCTACTCTGGTTGTGATTAAGACAAATAAATATGCATACACAGAGATGTATTTATAGAAGTAAAAAATAGTAGGGGCACTTTTCATTTGTAAAAACAAACATGTAAGGTAAAAACATAAATGCAAGGTATTCTTGTTAAGTTTACCTTTACCATGTTACACCTTACCAACAATGGCTTCATAGGACTCACAGGAGAGCTAATCACAAGTAGAATGAAAGCATGAACATATTCAATCCTAATCCACTTGTGTCCAAAACAAATAGTGCACAAAGATGTTAGGACTAAATTCTAAATGGCTGCATTTTAACCATGCAAATCACAGAACTGGAAGTTGCTTCAATCATGTGTATGTATATAAGCATCCATGCACACAAAGATGTCAGGACTAAATTCTAAATGGAATGTTTCATTCCCAGGCTTTTCACTGTTTGTATCACTACAGTGAAATCTATTGGCCGCAAGCAGGACAACTTACTTTGGAGGATACTTCAATTTTATTTCACTTTCAGAACTATTTTTAGATGCATATGGAACTTGGAAAAATTCAATGGCTGCATTTCAACCATGCAAATCACAGAACTGGAAGTTGCTTCAATCATGTGTATGTATATAAGCATCCATGACCTAACACAAAACCTGTATATTATACATGAGTGCTCCACTGAACAATTTCATAGAGTGAATTCTGTCTAACAATATAAAATCTGATTAGGATTTTAGGCATACTTCTATTCAGCAAACAGAGCTACCAAATTTGGTTAGAGTGAGAAAAGAACTTTGCATTACTAAACAGTTTTTCCTAAGGCAGTTACTGGGATATCCACGCAGGATATAGGGGCAAGTGATACAGTGAAGCAATGGAGATCAGCAGGTTGATGTGGTGAGGAAGAGTGGGATTGATCCTGATGTGCATCAAACCTCATCATATTGCAATAAGCTTACAAATCTACAAGCAGTTACTTTTAGATTCCTTCTAAGTGAAATAGATGCAGACTTGAATCAATAGAAAGGTAGAACATAGATATTGTGCCCTGGAAGTTAACTTCAGATGGCCTACATTCACCTGCTAAACTCAAAATATTTACACATAATGCTGACCCCCATAACTACAAGTGTAAATGCACTAAAAGTGTAATTTAGCTACTTTCTGTTTATATTATATTCTTCTACAAATTTAACTCTTGTCAATACTCAGTTATTACATGCTTACCACTGTGCCTAGAAACTGAATGCTGGTCTCTCCAGAGGCATTCCGAGAAATCCGCTGAAAAACACAAATGTAAGAATTAATTAAAGCAGCTCAAAATTTGTAACCATTCCATTTTCTTTGTCACATCACTGTAAAGTAATCAAAAATAATTTAATACATAAATATATGCATTAAACAGATAAAATCATTTCCTTCAACAGAAGTACTAGAAGTCTAAATCATACTTCATCTCAGGTTTTGGTTTTAGTTCAGTCAACTTAATAAAATTTATTTTTGAAGGACAATGAAGGCAAATATGGCCAAGTACAACACAGAGCAACCTTGTGCTCGAATGTCATGAATAATGAGGCTTCTGCCATCTCTGTGATTCTGTATTCCTGCTACTCACATTTAGTATTATCTTCATTCTCTCCTAATGAGAGACATTTTAATCTCTTTTTAAAATGCAAACCTCCAATGATGCTACTTTGAAAACAGAAAAAAAAATGACCTTATGAAATGTCTGGTCACCTACTGTGGTTCAGGAGTTGATTGAAGTTATTAAAGAGTCTTCAAATATTACATTGTCAGTAAGCCACAAGACAATGCAAGAGAAAATATATTACTGGTTTCACACAGTATTAAACATAATTTAAATATGCAAGACGTATAAATAATTCTTCCTGTGAATCGTTTTCTCCTTCAGTGTCAAAAGGTTTTTCTCACATTTCGTTCCTGCTATCTAAGCTATGGCCCACATGGGTCCCAGCTGAAGGAACACAGCCCTCATTTTACACAGTGCCAAGTGTACATAAAAGTACTAGAGCACAAATCTGAGAAGATGAGTATTATTGCAAAGAACTGCACAGAAGCCTTCAGCGTTTTAAAGATAAAAAAATCGTAAGAACAGGGCTGCAAATAATCTTGAGAGATCTTCTAGCCTAAGACTCCCAGCAGAATCAAAACACACCAGTGCCATTCCCAAATGATGTGTTTCTAACTCATTCTCAAAATCTTTCAATTGCAAAAATATCACAGCCTCCCTAAGCAATTTATCCCAGTGTTTTTCATCTTTACCATTAGGAAGTTTTTCCTAATATTTGATTAAAATAACCCTTACTTCAAACTCTATTACTCATATTAATTCTCATCTGTTTCACTACACACAGGAAACACAGATTATTCCCTTCCTTTCTACAGCTACCTCCAGGTATATGAAGAGCCCTAATCATGGCTCCCCTAAGTCGTCTTGTCCAGACCAAATGAGAAAGTGCTGCACCACAATAGCTAGATATCCCCCAAAACAATTTTAATAGCAATAAATTAAATCCTAATCCCTTTTCACTAATGGTGCATGTTCCTCAGCCACACTTTATGAAGTAATAATTACTACAGCCCAAACATGCTTATTTTTTGACTTAACAGGTCACACACTGACATTGCAATCTGTACAATCATAGGAAAACAAAGGGTGATGTGCCAGAGCCTGACATATTTCAACAATAATGATTAATGGAATGGAAAATATGGGAAATAAAATTTCATACAAAACCTGACGTTTACTTTTATAAAGGAAACAGGAATATACACTTTTCCCACAGTCTAGGATAAACACAATCAGGTTTTGGAAACCACAAAGAAGAACAAAGTACCGGCTGCCTACAATGAATGAACCACATGCCAAAACAAACAAGTCCCAACCACTTGATAAGCTGTCAGAAAATGGCAAGCTGAAAAAAATTAAAGGATTTAATTTCTTTTTTTCCTGGAATGCCCTCCACCCTCGTTAGAGTTCTGTCACTTATTGTGCTACCCTTTTGTCCGCTTTCAAGGGTCATTAGAGACCTTTTCATGTCCTAATAAAAATTCCATTTTTTTGGCTAATCTCCCTGTCACACAGAAAAACACAACTCAAAAAACAAAACAAAACAAAAAGAAAAATAGAGGCCCTTTTGTCATTTTCTTTAAAGACTTTCAGAGTAAAACCAGGTATCTTGACAACTTGACTTACTTTTCACAACTGAAAAGCAAATCATTAAAGTACTTCCTCACACAGATTTTCTTTACTTGCAGCCAAACAAGCTAGCATAGCAAAAACCAAGCCCTTGCAAAAATAATTTAATAACCACTTTAATGAAGCCAAATAAATATGTATATAAAGAAGGCACCTTCTAAAGCCTCAGCCTCAAGTCAAGACAAAGATATCAGCAGCATTTTTCCCACCCTTACACTGTTGGAGCACACTGGTATCACTCTACAGCAGTTTCCCACTGCTACTGTTTGCTGTGTCCAAAAAAGCATTACATTCAGTGTCAATTACATTTAAAGTCAGTATAAGCACTAAAATCCATCTCTTACATTAACATCTGGAGGGATGAGGGTGGGGGAAGAATAATGAGGAAAGTGAAGAAAACAGTTAAGAAACAGAGGAGAAAAAGAAATTTCCCTTATGGGTGAATGTAAAAAACAAAGAATAAAGAAAGATAGAGAAATTCTCCAAGTCACAAAACATATGTTACAGCAAAACAAAAAAGAGAACTGCCAGGCTTTGAGAACTGTGTTACAAAAGAAGTCAGAACATTATCATAATTAATGTTTCAAATTACAGTAAATAAATTTCAGCTATTAGATGTGATTAGATTTTTCTGAAAAGAGTTATTTCTGTTCCACTGGCAGGCTTGTGTTTCTGGGATTTGTAAATGTAATTGATGTTTTCAAGCAAATGAAAGGACATGGTTAACAATTATTCTTTTATTTCCCACCTCTTTAGAAAAAGGACCAGTCTCCAGTTTCTCTTGTAAAGTTAGATATTTACATATTCTATACCTCATAATAGATGGTTTCATATTGCATGTGATAGCAGGAAAGTAATCAAATAGAGGTAACAATAGAGAATAGCTAATTATATGCATTGTCATTGCTCTCCTAATAAATTGCAAATTATTTGCTAGGAGGTTTACAGCAAAAAGGCAAGGGAAATTTATCATTTGTTCAAAGACAAAACACCCCCATGTGTTTACTTGCCAATACAGTAAAATTACATTGTTGACATAAATTATGCTACCTTAGATATAACCAATTTCTTATCTGGTTGATTCAGTGCACAGAGCTTCAGACTAACTTAATTAGTATCATGTGAGTTAAAAGTATATTTTTCTTTCCTTATAAGAAGCAACAAGCTAACTCAAATGTGAAAAAAAATCACAACTTCAAAAAATCCATCTGCAGTCTCAAAGCTGTCAAATGGGTGTGAGTGTTACATAAATATTATATGTATTTTTACACACACAGGTTACAGTATGCTATACTGCATATGCTATGTATATACAAACAAAATGCTTATGCACACATGTAAAAACAGAAAAGTGTATACAATCATACAAAACATGTTTGATTCTCCTCTATCTTGTGTATGCTATACCACAGTCATTTCATAAATAATCAGTTTAGTCTGTAAATCCCAGTAAGTTACAAAACGGTAGTGTGATATGACTTTATATTCTTCTGCTTTGCCATAGAAAATTATTTCCACTTAGTTGGGTATCAATGACGTATTCATTGTAAGATGCAGTAGGGTTACAATCAGCTTTGCATTAAGCCTGCAATGGATGAGCACTAGCAGATAAAATGATAACAACCTTTACAAGAAGAAGGATAAAGCAGCTCAAGAAAACATAATATATATACTACTGAAAGACATTCTTAACTGACATAATTAAACAACAAGATCTTAGAATATTTTCCACAAATCTTCTGGTCTCTAAGGCTCTCCAAGCTACTAGAAGGCAGCAGCTGCAGAAAAGGAACAATACAAAAACAAAGAAACTCCAACAGACCAAATTTTTTTTTGCTTTGCTTACAAATGAAAAAGTAATGATATCCCACAAATCCAGAATTAATTTGAACTGGCAAAGGCAATCAGATAAATAGATACACAACCTTCTCAAACACAATTATCTTGAACTACTATATACTGGCTTTATTTGCTGAAAGTAAAAGTTGGAGACCATTACTTTTTTTCTGGAGACAGAAAACACACAGATTGTCACTCGGCCAATGTTTTCTGCAATTTTTTCAAGCTATGGCATTTCTATATTCCCAGCTGAAAAACATGTAGCAAAGTACCAAACCAAAACCAAAATTACAAGCCCAGAAAATTTATGGATAGGCTGCAGATAAAATTTTGAGCAAAACACTGGTAGTTTCCCAGCATGCTGGTGTTTTTCAGAATGCAGAATTTCCTGCAGCCCAGCTCCTATTGCTTTGTTTCAACTACTCACTAACAAAAATTCTGAACATCTTTTGCCAGGAATTTCAAATGGAGGATTTTATCTTTTGGTGAATACTTATACATTCTCGAAAATTCCACCTAACAAAACACAGGCCAGAATTATCCCCAGATAGGTTTAATTAAAAAAACAAATTATTACCACCATAGGGGAATAGGGGGAAAAAACCACAGTCATTTACCTTGCAACGTTCTAACAGATTCATTTGCTAGTACTTAATCTATGAGATTTTTTTATACATGAGGGTGCTTGGATGTCTGGAAAGCTCCATCTTCCACCCATGTCACTCCTACCTTTGGAGTCCCATGGCTGGGTCAGAAAGGAGGAAAAGCTGCAGAAGTAGCTGTGAAACCTTTAAATCATCCTCTCAATAAAAAAGGGTGATGGATTTGACATTACCAGTCTCATTTTCCCTCTCCTTCTAGAAAGTAGAACTTCATTTCAGCACATTCAACTTGCTCACTCTCACAAGCCCTGCCACTTTGTGAATCACCCCACTTTTTCACAATTTAACATTCTGCACTGGTGGTGCCATCATTGTCTCCCCTTAGAGCATTAAACTACAGATGGGAAGTTAGCCTGATTTTGTGCACTGCTCTACCCTTAGCCATTACCAGTTTCAGTTCACACTTTATAGTAAAAGAAGCTTCAGTGAGTTGTTCTTCCTCAGGGCATGTCCACATTTCCCAGGTTCTTACAAGGGCAGCAATCATCCAGTGGGGAGAGAGATGATCAAGTGCTGTATGTGAAGTGTTTTGACTTGTAAAAGATGTCTGAGACTGATGTTAGTGGCACTGTGCTGAAGCAGTCTTTCCCATTAAAAGGAATCCTGCTGAAATACTGGCCTCCCCTGGAACCTGTTGCAAGCTACCTCAGACCCTTTCCAGGGACTAAAAGGAACCTGTTCCCAAACAGTACAAATATAGATGTTAAATACAGGGTGAGTGACTTACAAGGCATCAATCCACACAGATAATTGTGCAGGTGCAGTTTGTAAGAGGCTGAGGAACCATATCACTACTTTTTAGTTCTCTTAATGCCTGGGATTCAATTGCAGTAGATGACTTGGGAATTTCTGTCCTCCCATAAACAGAAAAATAGAAACACAGATCCTTCCCAATATTTCTTTATGCGATATCCAATGTGACTGTTACTTGTTACTTCATTTTGCAAAGTTTTTTTTAAATATTAAAACCACTGCAGGTATGCTATTACATATACAGAGAGTGCCTTGTAAATACGTTCATGTGTTTCTTTAATCCTCTGAGATAGGTAGGTGTTACAAAAAAGTAGATGAGAGGTTTTAAAGCTAACAAAAAAGAAACAATCAAAACAAAACAAACAAACAAACAAAAAAACCCCACACAATCCTGACTGCCCACCCCACCTCCACAGCAAATACTGTTTATCTGATGTTAGTAAAGAATTAATATAAAGGACATTTGCTTCAACCCGAGATTTACAATAATAGAATAATTAGGCATTTAGTCTTCCCTGTGACTTTCTAATTTTTTGCTGTTACTACACTGAATCACAACGTGACTAGAACTTCTGGAAGCATTACCCTTGTTTTGGCATGCCATGATACAGCCTGCTCCTATAAGGGGGGGGTGGGAATCATGCAGTCAAAATGCTGCCATGTGATTCCAGATCTGATAATGTCTGTGACTGCCCTGAGAAAAATTCTTGACAGGATCCATAGCCCTTTCTCACTCTTCTGCCCCTCCTCTTCCTTCCCCTTTGCTCTCTGAATGTGCTACCATGTTCAAGAGAACCATTTCTCATCTTTCAGGGTTTAGATATCATAAATCCACAATGTCTGTCAGCGACTGAACACGATGCTTTGCTCCTTGGACACATACAGAATCCTTATAGTTATTCATCCTGAATATTGTTTGTCTTGAAAATGGATAGCTCCAAGAGGAAAAAAAATATGGCATAAGATACCATGACAACTAATGTTATTTGATTAGCATCTTGAGTAAGACAGGGATTGATTTAACATATCAGTTGATCACTCATTTCCTTCCTGAATGAAAAAAAGGAATTATATTCATTTTCATCAAAGAATTGGTAATGGTAGTGATGTGTACTTTTAGCTCTTCTGCTGTAGTTTCATGAGCTTTTATTCCCTTTAATTTTCCCCTTCCCTTCACATATTCTACATTTGAACCACAGACAAGAAATTTGTACCAGATTTGGCTAGGTTAGCATAACTGGAACAGGCTGAAAAAAAAAAAAAAAACAGGGAGGGAGCTACAGGTTAATCAATGTGGGCCATCAGGAATTCAGTGCTGGGGCTCACAGTGGCTTTTCTCTACCCAAAAGTACAGCTATGTGGATATAGGATAACCAAATGTCTGCAGATCATTCTGAGTCCCTCTTCTGGAGACAGCCTAGCAAGAATAATTTTGAAGTCATGGTTAAAGGACAACAGCAGAGTATGTGCAGTAATTGCACAGCACTAAAAAATGGACTGTCAAGCAGTCATGAACACTGCTCACTAAACCTTCCCGAAATAATTTTCAGGGGTTAAGAAAATGAATGTTCTGAGGTAATGGTACTTTAGATTGAAAACCTATATAATGTATCATATCATTATCACAGATTACATCTGAGATCTCAAAACAGCAAAATGAAAAAAAGGTAATTTTTCTTACAAAAGTAAAAAAATTACACATATGAAAAAAGTCTCTAAAGAGTTGTAGGAAATGAATACTTGGGCAAAGGCTTTGTTCTCCTGTCAGATATTTCCCTGGAACAAAGACTTCATAACCTACAGCATTCTCATTTCTTCTGTTATTATAGACCAAAATAATAATCTAAAGAAACATTGTATCAGAGAAGCACTTATATTTGTCATACCCCAGGATGCAGAATATACTACTCCTGCTGCAATTGTTGATGCAATAAATAAATTAAATGAAAAAATAAGTGATGCCACCACCAAATTCCCTTTAACACTAAGTAGAGAAAGCTCCCCTGATAAATCTTCATCTATTTCATTCACAAAAACACTTGAAGCTTGAGACTGATGATTTCAGCTTTACAGGATCATGTTCTTGTTTAGCAACTCCATTACTCTCTTAATTACACCTTGCTGTGACTGATAAAGGCCTCTTTACTGTAGAGTTTGGGATGCCCAACAGACACAGAACAGTTATGCTGGAAGGTTCCTCTGGAAATCAGGTAATCATATTCCCTGTTCAAAGCAAGGCTAATGTCAAGGTGATACTGAACTGCTCAGGACCTTGTCCAGCTGAGTTCTCACTACATCCTACAGAGCTTCAGTTCATCAGTGACTAACTCTCTGAAAGCCACGAAATACAAAAAAAAGGAGGTACCACCAGTGCTATTGCAAAATTGCTTTGCTGAAGGGGCCAAAAGCCACCAACAGTTTTCCAGGGTCCAGGCAGAATGCCTACACTACCTCTACAGGGTAGAAGGCTTCATAACACCAAGATAGCAGAGCTGTGGGCCCAGAAGTTTGGCAGTGAAAAGGCTGGGTGCATATGATGGAACTAATGGGGTTACAAAAGCATTGGCAAAGATGATGACAAATAATTCAAACTAAACCACTCTATGGTTCTGGTTCAGCATCCTTTTGCTACAGGGAACGATCTGCAAGTAAAAGGTGTTTAAGGATGAGTTGAGTGTTTGATGGTGGGATCAATGAAGGCACAGCATTCAACAGCACTAAGCAATTGTAAAATTTGTCCATGTAGTATTGCCATAGAGCAGCCTCGAAATCTGAGTGGTTGGCAGGGTGGTTTTTGAGAATTTGCCCAAAAACCAGCAGTTGTTGCTTTGAGGATCTCCTCTTAGACTCATTTTTTTCTTGAGCAACCTGCTCACCCTGCTGATATCTGGTGTTCCTGTGCAGTGTCCCAGCAGAAGGTTGTCCCATGCAACCTGACTAGTAAGGACAGAGCTGCAGTTAGATTCCAGCCCATCTACTGGACTCCATGGATTCCTTACCTTGAGGTCCCCTTAGATTCTAGTTCCCATGAGGAACAGATGATGTTCAAACTCTATGGAAAAAGACAGCTTTTTCCTTCCTTGCACCTGCTCCTCAGTTCATACGGTGAGACAGAAGAGGTCATAGACAACTTCTGTGGGCACAGGGCTCACTGAAATACAGCTTACTTGTATATGGGAGGAGAGACAGAGAAGTAAAAATGCCCCCAAAATATGTAAAATTGTCCCACAATATGCCTCATTTATTAATTTATTTTTATTCTAAATATTTCCTAGAAGGTTATATTATATTCAAATCCTGTTTTACATATATATGAGTACTTTAAACGTGTATTTGCAATTAAATAAAACCCAATCCCCTCAAATCTGAGGCAGGTGTATTGCAACTATATTCCTATAGTTCTCTGATTTTCAGCAAAGTCCAAATTCATAATAGCTAGGTGTAAGTCAAATTCTGAGCCACTAACATCTTTTGAAACAAGTATGGGAAACCATTTTGGTGAAGTATTTCTGTACAAGAAAATGTCATTTGCTTCCTGAACAAAATCCTACACTTCAGGATGTGTCAAATTCACCCTCGCCAAATTAGAGGTAGAGTTTAGTCATAAGCACAGAAAATGCTGAGAAACTGGGATTAACTGAGAAACTGCTAATAACAGCCACAAAAAATCACCCATGATGAAATCTGAGTCCTACAAGAAATGCCATGGGGTCTGCCCACACCCCCATCCCTGAAACTGTATCTCAGAAGTCTCTTGTTCAAATGATCCCAAGTTTTCAGTACTTCATCACTTTGTATAACATGCTATGGATTTCACAGTAACCCAAAGCAGCACAATGATTTCAGAGCCCTTATGCTGCAGCCACAGGACCTGCAGTATACCCCAGGGTTCTGGTCCCACTCTCATCTGGGGACCTGGCCAGGCACTCTGCAGCTCCCATCTGCTGCACACAGATGGGCTTCCTCACACAGGAAACAAAAGCAGGAGGAGGGGGGCTGCCACACATCCTTGCTGTGCCCTGGTATGCCCTAACAGACTGTACCACGGCATATACTTCTCAAGACTCAGGTCCCACACTCTAGAAAACGTCCTAGAAAATGTGGATTTTAAACTCAAAGGCCCTTCATAACTCTGGAGCAGAATTGGTGTTCTGCTTTGCTCTAATTCTCATTAAGCCTTTAGCAGAGGAGTGAAAATACAAAAGCATGCTTAAAATAGTTATTTTTAACCATGCAACAGATATGCAAAAATTTGAATGTCTACACTATAATTACATAAATATATTTCAAACCAAAACATTTTTAAATTATTTATTCCCAATTTCTACGTTTAAGTGCTTTTCTAGATTGTGGCCAGACTGCAGGATTGAGCCAAAGGTGCATAAATCCAACCTTCAAAGGAATAAAACATTCACAAAGATTCTATTTGGTTGAGCAAATTTAGAAGAATAAAGCTAACTAAGAATAAAAATTAGATTGGCTGAAAATTAATAAAGCACAGCTGGAATTATTCGATTCATCCATATTTGTTGCTTAAATGGCTCTAGGGCTAAGTTTTGCAGAAAGATACTTCAAAACTCAGGGGTCAATTGCTTTTGGAGACAAATTGACCTACAGGGATACACTTGTCTAATTTGGTTCTTGCAGTGGGGCAAGTCTACAGAAATATATAACCAAAAAACCAATTTTGATTCCAGTGAGAGACTATCAGAGGTCAAGTTTAAGGTTCCCATAAATTTACATATATACACTAAAAGATTAATAACTTCTCAAGCGACTGAGTTTCCTTGCTAAAAGCAAAGGCAGATAAAATCTGAGAAGGAAACAACATATGTGCTTATTCCACATTCTGTTGGCTAGATACCATGCAGTCAGCTCATTGCACATTGCTGTGAATAGATCTGCAGTATTTCATAGGCTTTGGCCATACTCAGGGAGTGCAAGTAACACTACTGCTGGCTCAGCTCCTAGGAGAAACTTCTTCAGATCATATAATCATTAATTTTGAAACTAATTTTATGTGCACATTCAACTCTTATTAGCTAAATGGTGTTATTACTGTTAGTTATATATCCAGTCATATAGTAATATAGTTTGCAATGAGGTCTTGTGAACAGTTATCCATTCTAAACATAATGCTTCTCACCTAGGCAGGTTTTATAGATTCATGCATTGATATTTTTTCCTGTTCAAAATCAGTAATGTACTTTATAAAATGGCACCAAAATGGACCAGTATTAAAATAGTAAAAAAAGAAAAACACACCTAAAAATAAAATTTATTTTAGATAGACACACACCAAAAACACACCTAAAAATAAAAAGTTATTTTAGATATACACACTCCTTGAAGCTGGCATAAACCTCCCAAGAAATCTACAAAACTTAAGTCCAGAATTTACTTGGGAGCATAATGAAAATTTCACTCTCAGGCAATATTAACCTTGAAAGATACAATAACTTTTTATTTTCAAGTTGCACTCTTTTAAATTCAATCAAAGCAAAAATAGTATTTTCCAGGTGGGTAATTTACCAGGGTAAAAATGAAAAACTAAATTCACGCATTTCATTGTAAATGATGAGAAATCTGACCATTGCATCACTGATAAATATATAGGAAATAGATACTGTTGTACGTAGAAAAATACTTTCAGTAAGTTTTGATTTGTTTTTCATTATTGCCAGGATCAACAGATATTTGTAAATAAATGATTTGTCAACAAATATGTAAATCCTGATTGAGCTTACATTTAGAAAAGTATTCTCTGGTGTGTGGAGTTGTTTTCAAAGACATAAGTATTCAGAAGAAAAGAAAATACAACCACTTTAAGCTTTTCAGTCCTCTTTTCTTAGAGCCACATAAATTTGGGATGTTTTCTACTTTTATCTTTACAAATCATGGAACTAATTGCATTTCTTATAATATAAGTATATAAAAAAAAAATGTTACATGGGAGATTTGCTGACTTTCAAACTGCAAAGGCCCAGAAGTGTAACAATCACACAATGCAAATATGAGGGAGAGACTAATTTTACTGGAGGTACCCATGTGGGATTTGTTATGGGTTAGGTTAGGAGGGAGTTTGTTCGTTTTGCTTCAGTTGATCAGGTTTTTTTGTTGGTTGGTTGGTTTTTTGCAGTAAAGCATTTCTTATTTTTCACATGATTAAGAAACTCTGTCTCCTCACAAGCCACTAAATAAAGACAGCCTATAAACTGGGGTAAACTTCTGTCTAAATAAGGAACATCTCATTAAAAGCAAGACATTCAAAACTCTAGGTAAGTAACTTGGAGTGCATCCAGAACTTTAGTGGAGTGAATTTGTCTCAAAGTAGAAACATTCTGCTACTATTTGTACATCACATAATTTTTGTGATGCAGCAGGTTTAGACCCCACGTTTCAGTATTATTTGCATGCCCAAAGAGGCCTTGGTGAGATTACCTGTATGGTCCTCTGAGTGCCATCAATGGTGACAGACAACAAGGGTGAAGCCAGGTTCCACTCGCTGGTCACATTTAGTCTCATCCCATCAACTTCCACCTGTTGTGACACCAAACAAGGCTGTTACTATTGAAGACAGACAGAAAACTGATCTCAAGTTCATTACTGCATACAAAGCAGCAACCATTTTAAAACAGATGGCTCCCAAACAACCTGTCATGTTTACTGCTTCTGCCATAAAAGACAGGGTCCAACAACAGAGTCTTCCAGCTATCTCTGGGGAGAGGTGAAGGACCTGTGAACAGCTGCCTCTGAGCAGCAAGGTTTCAAGTGATTTCCAGCAAGTAACAAACAGCCATCCAACTTTTAAACCTATCTGGACATGCTACATTTACTGCAATTAGACAAGTAATGCATATAAATTCCAGTGACACCTTGCAACCCACACAACAGGGCTTGCATATAATATTCTCTCCAAGGACCAAGGAAGAACTTTTCCTATGCTTCTAATGAAGGGCTTTGCATTGTTATCTTAATTAATATAAGGCAGTAATTAATTCTTCAGCATTTTGCCTCAAAGTCTAGAAAAACTTTGCAAATTCTGGCATGTTTTCTTTCAATATACAGCTGATCAGAGAAATACAATTTCTGACTTGAATGCCAATATGCTTATCCAGAAAGTGGGTTTTATTTTAAATCATGCCATATTCATTATGCAAAAATATTTCTAGGTGAAGAGCAAAAATTCTGGGTTCTGAAAAAGATCAGCGTAGCTGTAATGACTTCTATCATTCTGTTGTATTATACTGTTTAAAAACACACCTCACATATTCAGCACTATAACATCCTCAGAGAAAGAGATGGTTATGAAAAAAATTATTACATATGGATTAATGTAATTGGTGATTAATATTTATGGCATATTTTGAACACTCATCATGCTATTGAAGGTAGGCAACTATTATTTACTATAAACAGAAGAAAAGTCATGGTTGGCCAATTTCCTTCCTCTCTCAAAATCTCCAAAGTATTTTCTAATCAGTAAAATTCAGACAATAGTGATAATGACACCACTATTGCATACATCTTCAATAAACTAGAAAAAAAGAATCAATGCATTTAGAATAAAAGCTGGGCACACCTTTTGCAAAATAAAACTTATAAAGCCTACTCTTTTAGGTCTCAGACTTATTATTTGATCTAATAATAAGAAGAAGCGTCTTATATCCATAAGTGAGAAGTGCAGAGGAACAGTGTGTAATTTGATGAATTCATTTCAGTTAAGAAGAAAAAGTTCTGGCTTAAAAAATACTCCAATTTTATAGACTTTAGTTTAGAACACAAAGTTTACCTTAGTGATACAATCTATGCAGTTTCCATGGGCTTTGACTATAAATAAAGTTACATGTAAAGAACAAGAAGAAAAACAAGTCATTTATAATGGTTCACCAATAGGCCAGATTAGCTGGCATGCTTCAGGTACTTTACACTGCTCCAGTGATGCAAACCAGCCACAAACCTGGCTTGAGTTAAGCCGGACCTGCAGCTGGTTTGCATTTCCAGAGCACTGCAGAGCAGCTGGAACACTCTGGTGAACCCAGACCACTCTCAGCAAACGTGTATCAGCAAATACTTTTTTTATTGAGAACAGGAGAAACATCTCAAAAAGACTTTTCCAAATGGAGAAAAGCAAATCCAGTACTCTGTCTCAACCCTCTGTGATTACCAACTGAACTTTGATAAGGCAATTATTTAAATTCTTTAAATGTCACTATTGCTAAAACCAGAGAAAGACTGTCTGCACTGGAGTCTGGGTCTGAAAACATCATTTACCATGTGTCTCCAGGGATAGAGGTGACACACCACCAAAGCAGACCAGGCTACTGGTCACCAAAAAATCCTCCAAGTATACACCATACTGCTTGTGGCAGTGCAGGATTTACATGCAGCCTTTAGAGAGAAAATCTATAGCTGCTATCCACAGTTCTAGCAAAGGGTGTTCCAGGGGCAGGATGCAAGTCAATACCTCCACAACAAACTCAGTCTAATCATTAGCTCTTTTGTCACTGTACAGATGAGCAAAAGTGGAGTAAACCTCTTTGTCACAGTGGTAAATGACCTGTCCAAAATCCCTCCACTCTTTATTCCAGATTACATTAGTATCAAAACACTTCTGGTGGAAACCACCCTGAAAGGAGAGGGCAAGCAGATGCTAAATCTAAACAAACCATAGCACTCCCGCCTGCTTATGTGAAATAGAGAAACCAGCAGATAATATATTGCCACTATTATGGTTTCTCTATTCAAAAAAGAACAGAGGGTGAGGGGAAGGGTTATATGAACTAATGCTTATCCCATAAACTGCAGCAGACTTCTCACAGAATGGAGCTACGGGGTCTCAGCTGCCTTCACCTGCAACTCACCATGGTATGTGCAACTGAGGAAGATCACAGAAATCACAGAATATTACCAGTTGGAAGGGATCTTCAAGGATCAATGAGTTTAACTCTTAAATTAATGGTCTATACAGGGATAGACCCCACCACCTGTGCATTATTAGCACCACGTGTAACCAACTGATGATGCGAAGCCAAGAGAATCCCAAGGAAATCTGGCTACCTATGCTGTGATAGGTAGAATGACAAAGACAGAACATCAAGATGTCAGAGAAAATGAAAAGGACTGATGATATTTACCATGTAGTGATCATGTTCCTTTTACCACAAATGAGAGAAAATACAGGGGTGGAGGGGAAGACAGGACACAGCATGCCAAAAAGCAGATGGGGATTGAAATCAAACCAATACTTTATCTAACAGAGCAAGCCTTCTTTCTGCAGCCAACAGCCTAGCAAGGCTAGCAGGTAGAAATAGGGGAAGAGAGAAGACCATAGACGAACCTGTCAGAAGTTTCCATTTGCCTTCATTCCTCCTCTAGCAATGGATATGATAACAGAACCTAATAAATACTGCAATAAACCCAGAACCTTTTTGCTTTAGGTTTGGAGGGTTGGGAGTCAGGGTTCAGGGTGTGAAGGGGGACATGGGGATTAACTAATGACATTATAGGGACTACTTCCCATCTTCCTTTGTTTCTTTGCTCCTAAGAGAGCCAAAAACAAATCACCATTCAAAGGACGCTAACACTTGAATTGCAGTGAGAAGATCACAGTCAATTCACTCCTGCAGTGGGTCACACTGTGCTTTACACCACACCCATATAGTGTAGCTTTATTCTTAACTACTCAGTTCCAAGTATACACATATGTGTCTGTGCATCTACAGTAACTATGTTTCCATTGCTGCACTACACCCACATGACACAGTGGTGGTGAATGATTCCTTTATTTAAAGGTTTGTTTGTCCCTATGTGAGGACACAAAAGATAAAAGCAGCCACAGTCCTTCACAATTATTTCCAATTCAAAAGCTACTGTAAACGAGGTCTCAGAAAGAAGAGTGACAAGTCCAAGACACAATGCTAGAAAAAGGTCAACAGCTTACCCCACTGTCACAACTTTCCAGACTTTGCTGGCATGCACCTGAACTACACAAGTAGCAGCCCCTTCACCTCTTGTGGAGTGAGTTCCTGATGTTCAGCATGATGTGTACCAGCTAACCAATAGTGCAAAGAGCTGCAAAGCATAATCTGCATTCAGTTTCCTTTAGAGAACATAATTTGGCATTCTGTGTGCATGTCAGGCAATTAAAGCAGGCAGCACAAGCCTGAGTGTTATAGCCCTGTTAATTTACTAATGCAAAGTCTCGCGTACATCTGGCACATGTCACTTCTTTTCTCCTGGAAATGAAGGTGGTTTTCCAGGAGACTAGAGGGCAGCTAAAGCATTTGTTTCCTGCCTGATCCTTCAAAACATTATGCCTGAAGTTTCTCATGCCAGCCCTGAGTCTGACTAACTTAAGTCTGCTGATTTAATCCCATGGTTTCAATTCTGCCTCCCAGCACGGTGTTTAACTCGAGAGTTCTGGCCCTAATGACTTGGCTATGCCACCCTTAGCCATAGCATTTACAGCCTTTAATTCTACCTCATGCTATAATGGAAGTGATGGCATTCTCTAATCAATCAGATCTAGAAAATGAAAAATCACCCTCTGCAGACCTGCCTTGTTGAAGTCTTTCTCTGATCAAGACAGCTGCCCATGAAGATGGACTTTTCAGGAAAACAGACATTATTCTTCACAGGATATACATGAATATTCACCGCTATAGCCTCCACTCCCTTCAACTGTCATTAATCTAAGGGACATCCACTGGGCAGCAAGGGTTCTATAAAGTGAACCTTAAAATCATTCCTGCAAGGAAGGAACAATAACAGCAAGAATAACTCTTGTAAACATGAGGTAGCTTATATGTTTGAAGACTTTGTTCAAACCTACATAAACCCCTCCTCTTCTGTCGAAAAAGTAACTGTCTCAAGCAGAAGACTCCTTACCTCCATCACTGCTAACCACACTGTCCGTGCCAAAACAGCAAGGAGATTCTTTACATTTTTATAAATCAGGTAAACATTAGGTATTGCTTCTTGTGCAGAAGAGGGGGTGACTAGAGAACTGGTAGCAGTGTGGCAATAGAAGGTCCAGCAGAGGCAGCAGTATTCAGTAACAGTCTGCAGTGACCTCAGACTAAGCCAAACTGAGCTGGATAAAGCAGTTTTTGGTTCCCAGTTTTCACAAAATGCATGAAATTGTTATCTAATCTACTGTCCAGCCAACAGAGAAGCACATGGGAATGGTAAAGACAAGGGAAAACTGTCCTCTTTCAAAAGTTACCTTCTGCAGTCCCATGCAACCTCAAGAATGCGAGGAAAGTCTTTATGGGGCTGATGAGCCCAAGACTTCCTTTAAAAGCATGATGCATGAAACACCAGGCATATTGTAAAATATTTTGCTAGTTTTTAATGTAAAAAAAAAAATTCACAGCAGAAGAGTTCAAACACTATCTTGCATCCATCTATTCTCATAGCAAATAACCACAACACACTTCCTTATAATGAAAATTACTAGCTTCCTGGAGTCTGTAAGAACATGTGGTAATTTGCAGAGTTGTCTTGGAAATTATTGGGTCTTCTTATACAACTTGCCC